CTTTAAATGCTGTTCAAGAGGTAGGTTACTAATAATTATATGTAATGTATATTAATAATAGTGAAATTTTATTTCATTTTTTGTAGCGTGTTGCTGCTGCTTTAAAAATTAGTTTAAGGACAGTTAGTCGTATTTCCGAGGGTGTGAAAAGTGATGCAAATTTAGAATCGCCCAAGAAAAAGCGGAGTTATATTAAACGTGTAACCAACACAGCGACATTGGATACAAGTGCCATTCGAGAAGTGATCTATAATATGTATCACAAAAGTAAGATCTTATTATAATAACTTATCAGAAATTTGCATTAATTTGTTAACTAAATTATAATGTCATATTACACATGGTTTCAGAAGAACAAGTTACGATACAAACTTTATGGTCTCGATTAAGAGATAGGGCATTATTTGATGGTAGTGCCACGTCTTTAAGGCGGTTGCTTAGAGATCTTGGATTTAAGTGGCTTAAGGACAATCCGCGACGAGGGCTCATGGAACTACCAAGTATAGCTTTGAAAAGGGTGGAATTTCTAAGGCAATACAATCAAGCCAAGGTTGAGGCCTTATACCAGTTTGTCTTCCTCGATGAAACTTGGATATTTCAAAATGGGACCAAAAAAGCGTGAAAGCTATTAAAACAGATGGTAAAAGGTATGTACTTTTACACAATTTGCACAAAGTTCTTCGTCTGCCTCCTTACCATTGTATATTTAACCCTATTGAGTTAATTTGGAGCATAGCAAAAGGTTACTATAACAGACATATTGGTAGAGATGGTAACAGTGAAAAAGACTGTTTGGATATGTGGAACGAGGCTCTACAAACGGTTACCCCAGACATGTGGAAAAATAGTGTTCGACATACTGAGCAAGAAATTTTTAAATGGTATGAAAGAGAACGAATTTTTGATCGACCAGACATCGAACCTTTAATAATCAACTTTGAGAGTGATGAAGATTCAGATTCAGACAGCGCTGAAGAAAGAAACTCCGACTAACTTTATTGTACAGAAAAAGCTTACACCAGTAGCTTACCTAATTTTAGAATGCATTTTTCTGTATGAATTCTGTAAAATAACTACCATGCATACAATTTGGAGGACCCCATTTGGATTTTTATTCAGTACCTTTAAGCTATCAATTAAATATGGTAGTTTCATAGTGTCATCTGATCAATAATTGTCATACTTAATGATTATGCAAGTACAGATGTATAATTTTATTATACTATTATTTTTGTTCTCATTTGAGGTTAATATTGCTTATAAACCTAGATATGTAAATAATAAATTTTATTATTTTACAAAAAGTTTGGCAACAATGTAAATTTTTCAACACACCCACCTTGATGACGTGCACGCCACTTTGTTTGGCGTTGACTATATACTCGCGACCCGCTGCGGGTTTTGATTAGTATACAAACCATTACATAGATGTCGTTGAAAATACATCGTTCATCAAGAACGATGTTAACAGTTTCAACATCGATATTTATGAACGATACATCTATGTTTTTAAAAAATGGTGTATCGTTTGCATTCCTAGTGGTACTACTCTGTAACAATTTACGAACGCAGCCCTGTACGAAAAAGGCTTATTTTATGCCGATAGAGGGTCTTGATAATATATTAGTGTAATAGGAAACTTTTTTGAAGGTTTGCATTCTCGACATCTTCAATCCACTGATCGGTATGATTGTCTTCATATACTTTATAATTTGGCTATTAAGTTGTGTCGCTGTGATAACGTCGAACTACGCTCACTATTGGGTCAATTTGAGTCTACTACTGGTTGATTATGTACTCCTGACGATGTTTACGATGATTATAACAGCTTGTTATGTGGACCTCAAGCACAGAAATTCTCAAATACATAAGGAAGCTCGTGCTACAGTGACGTTAAAAGGTGGCAGGCCCAACTGCTATCGTATACCTCTAGGAGGTGGTGGTATAACACCTAAACCATCCGTCCTTACAAACAAATAATGTTATGTGTATTGTATATTGTACATATACATGTGTAAATATAGAAAGTTTCATGAGCTTACATTTTCATGCTTCTTAATCTACTTCAGGCTTATGTAAGTGTTTATCGTGACTAAAATAGTGTATTAGATTATTTTAATATATGTAGTCAATATCTCTTAACTCTGTAGATTACGCAAAAAATGTGACTAGATTTCCTCCAAAAACGAGGCTCCCTTAAAGTATGTGTCTAAAGGTGCGTTTAGATCTGAGCATGCACGCACTGATCCACCGCGAACGCTCAGCCTGTATCATCATGTGCGCGAGCAACAGCAAACGCGATCCGCCTGGTGTCGGTCTCAAGAAGTTGTTCAAAAGAATTTAGGTAGTCCGCGAATGCTCAGTGTAGACGGAAACGACAACGCGGCGCACAGGATTGTAGAGTTGATTGTATTTAGTCCAGTAAATGATGGAATGAAATAATACTAAAGTTTTAAAACTCTTGCAAGAGTTTGAGAAATTACCGATACTGTGGGACATTCAGCACGAAGATTCTTATGCAAAATCGAAAAAAAAGATGCATGGCAACAACTATTAATCAATTGTTGCATTGAAAATTTAGACTGTTGCGAAGCTAAGAAAAAAAATTAAAAGTCTGATTTGATCATTTCGTCTCGAAAAAAGCCAAGCTTTTGACACTCTGAAACGAAACTGCAAGCTGCTGTAGGAGTCTTCAGCTGCCAAAAAACGCAAGGTTATGGCTAAACGTTCTCTTGGTGATATAGATTTTCGCATCTTTTTCATTGTCGTTGGTGTTACCAACGTAAGCAGGTATTCAAAGTCAGCCTTGGTCATTTTTGTAAAATTTCTGAATTGATCATACAGACTGATACTATTTCCGTTGATAAATTATTATTTCTTTTGCGTATACATTCGGTTATCCACCAACGACGACATCTATGTTTCCGATTGTCTTTTCTTCCAATTAAATTATACGGTTTGATAAATGCTGCCACGGCTATAATCAAATCCAAGCGAATAACCAAAATTATGCCGCGGTTATATGGTTCAAGATGACACACGGGTTGATGACATCAGTTACACGAATCGCTTGAACGCGTTGGTTTTAACCGCGGTTTTGTTGCAAGTTGTTTATTTTAGAAAAGCGCGTATATAATCTCTGATTATTTTTATTATCACTTAATAATCGGTGCTTTTTCGTCTACAACTGTATATGGAAAGTTTAAATAAGAAACCTTTCATAATATTCATGGGAGACATGTTTTTTTCAGATTTTTTTTTAATGATGGAACCATGGCTTTGTAGCTATGATAACTTTCAATTCTCTAAACTTTTCCTCGTGTCAAAGAAAACATTTATTGATTTAGCAGAAATGATGAAAAAAGAAATTAGCAAAACCGTATACAGGTGGATATCATCTAGTGAGTTTATATGGCCATATTTTAATATTCTTGTGGTATATGGCTACACAGGATACTTTGTTAAGCATAGGAACTACATTTAAAGTGTCCCCAACAACCGTAATGAGTATAACTAATAAGGTGCTCCACTTTATGGTAAAACTGAAGTCAGCCTGTATCATTTTTCTCAAAAATGAAGCTGAAGTACAATAACAATATCCAATACCCGGCAAAATTCTAACTTGTCACATTTCAAATAATAACCAGAAATATAAAACTACTCTTGAGTTGGGTAAATACGACAATTTTGCGGTGATAACTATGACATATAACAGCTGATTCGTGACGTCACGGATCTTATAACCAAACTGATAACTACACTCGCTTGAACGGATTGGTAAATACCAACCCAAAATGGTAAATACCATTTCCATTTGGTTATCCGCTTGAATTTGATTTATATCTCTATTCTCCCTATTAACATCGTACGCGAACGACTGGATCAACCCCTGCGTTGAAAAATTAATTTCTATTTAAACACTTTCTACGCACGCGAACGAATGTGTGCGCGTATGGTCAGTGCGTGCGTGCTCATATGTTAACGCACCTTTACGGAATAAGCGCTGGAAACAAAAATGCACGAAGTGACTGCAGAGCTCAACACGAGCATGGGCGCCAGGAGGACGTGGCCCCTCCTTGAGAATCTAGACCTCAATATTTTCATATTCAGCATGATTGTGTGTACAATTTTGGGAACTTTTAGGATTTGCCTCCCCTGTGTAAATTTGCTAACTCCTGCTGTTCAAAAAATCTTGGAGTAGACTTTCACAGAAAGTTATCTTAGAAACTAAACATGATGCTTTCGTCATTCCGACCAAAAAGGCAGCCAACCATGGACAGCTGGTTCGTGCTACTTGGCTACTCATCAGCATGGTCTAGACATGGTCTCTTGCCTTTGGACGAGCGAACGAAAGCATCGCAACTATCATCTATACCGGAGGTACGGTCCATCGAAATAAGACAGCGCGAGTTTATTCAATGGCAAGTAGAACACATCTACTTAACAGCCAAAATCGTCAGCTACCTAGCGGTCACGTGGTGAGCGCCCTTGAACATGTTTGTGCCGGAACTTGCGCTGCCCATATTTCAGTTCGCAAACATGAGCTAGATGTAAAGTTGTTGATTCTCGTAACTTTCGAGTATTTGTTACTAATCGTTACTCTTCTACAAAATAATCATTTATTGTATTCGTTACTTTGAATAGTATGAGTATAACGATTTGGCGACGTGCAATTAATGTCGAATTAGAACATCTTCAGTAAAACGCCTATTCAGTTTTCAAGATATCGAAGTAATCATTTGGTGCTCGGATGGTTACTCATTAGTTCGGCAGACTAGGTAGTTTTTAGTGTGCAAATAGTTCATTCCACGTTTGTTCGATATAATCGGTGTTCGTTGAAGTTTAAGCAACACGTTCAGCTAGAAAACGAGTTCACAGCAAGTGTACAACAGCGCATGCTAAGTTAACATATTTTCCAAAAACCTACATTATGTCTCAAAAAAAACGACGATATGTCACTTTTCAAAATACGTAATGCCCGTGCCGGTATCTATGAGTAACGAGTACTCGAGTAACGATTACTTACTTTTTCAACGCCTCTACTACCGATTTAATTTTTGTCGGTTCGACTTCGACAACACTGCTCGGCGTCGATCGGGGTTGAACGTCGACTTGACATTTTGCCAAACATTGATAAAAAAAACATGCAAATAAATAAACTAAAATTCATATAAAACCCATCAGATATGGATCTGGTAACTCAAACTAGTCTAGAAGCCTTATTATGTGAGTACCGCTATCAATTATGATTTAAAATGTCTCCAAATCATTTCATTTTGCAGTAAAAGCAACAAACTCTAAAAACCAAAACATTGATACAGCTGCAGTGGAAGCCTTTGCGGCTCTTATCAATAAAGAAAAAGATGGGGCACATATCGGGGTAAAAGTAATTGCTGCCACACTACCCACTGGTAGTGAAAAGGAGGTGCTACAAACCTTGAATATACTTGATTCTTGTATGAGTAAGTGCGGCACCCACTTTCAAAATGAAGTCGGAAAATTTCGGTTCCTCAATGAGATGATAAAGTTGGTATCGCCGAAGTATCTTGGCTCAGAGACGCCCCTCTCTGTCAAGCAGAAGGTTCTGCAGCTGCTATATGTTTGGACATTGGACTATCCAAAAGAAACAAAGATTAAAGAAGCATTTGATATGTTGAGGAAGCAGGGTGTCATAAGGGAAATTCCTAATCCCAATGTGCCATCATATGAGCCCCTAACCATGCCTAAAAAGAAACCAACAGGCTTTGATAGCTCTGTATTTCATGATGAGGGAAAATCAAAGATATTACAGAAGTTGTTACAGAGTAAGGACCCAGAAGATATTCAAGCAGCTAATTGGTTAATCAAAAGTATGGTCAAAGAGGTGAGTATTATAATACTGTCTTTGTCTAGTTTATATCAATACATAGTCGTGCCATAAGTTCTGTCCCATGATAATCTCATGATAAAAATGAAACAAGATAAGATATATTTATATGAAAGATATTATTTATTCGACAACATTTTTAGAATTCATAATCAAACAGTTTTATTCAAAATGTCCCCCCTTGGCCTTCACACACTGCTTCAATCTCGCGGGCCACTCATCTATCACTGCACGCACAGCTTCCAAAGGAATAGCTGCCGCTGATCGGATCAAATCCGCTTTCAGGGACTCGATATTACGGTGGGCTTTGGAGCAGGCCAACTGCTCTAGCAGGTCCCACAACTTGTAGTCTAAAGGATTGAGGTCCGGACTCCCTGAGGGCCAATCTTCCGCAGCAATGAACTCTGGCACATTGCTTTCCAGCCAGCGCTGCGTACTCTTAGCCTTGTGAGCGGGGGCGGAATCCTGCTGGTAGACCCAGTGTTGGTTGGCAAACAATGTACCACTTAAAGGCTTGACGATAGGATCCAGTATGTCGCTCTGATAGTTTGCCGCTTTTGTTTTCACGCCCTGTTTACAGAAATGGAGCTGAGTGACCCCTTCGTAGGACACCCCCCACCAAACCATGACTGACGCAGGGTGGTGGCCTCTCTCAACTCTCGGAATGATCTCCGAAGCTTCCTGTGAACTCCTTGCATACACTTTGTCATTTTGTCGGTTGAATTTTTCTTCTATGGTGAAGATTTTCTCATCCGTGAACAAAATCTTTCGGAATCCCCCAGCTGCGTACCTCTCCAAGAGCTTCTTGGATCTTGTCGCCCTGATGTGTCGCAAGGTGGCCGTAAGTCGCTGGCCCGTACGTCTCCGGTAAGCCCCTAGCCCTAGGTCTTGTTTAATGATGCGCGACATCGTCCGGACAGGAATCTTCATTTCCCTGGATAGGATCTTCTGCTTCCGGAGTGGATTCCTTTGAATCCTGGCTTTTACGGCTTTGATGGCTGCTGGAGTCCTTACTTGACGAGGTCTTCCGCTTCTTGGCCTGTCATCAACAGAGGACGTCTCATTGTACCGCTGAATGGTCCTAGACACAAATTTACGCGATATTTGAAGGCCGCGTAAGAGTTCAAAAATCTGACTAGCACTGTGATTACACTTATGTAAAGCTATCACTGCAATACGGTTCTCTGCCTTGCCCCACTCCATCGTTATGCTTCGAGAGATCAATACAAACTGAGGTATATGTAATTACCCGAAAAGCGCTTAATCAACTGACACCACAATGTAAACAATCGGACAAGTATTAACAGGTCTACACTTGTTTGAAAACGAGGGACAGAACTTATGGCATGACTATGTATTACTGCAATCAGCTTTGCACACCATATTCTATTTGAGGTAAAATTCTAGCTTGTCTACACCAAATCTTATCTGTCACAGTAATACTATTTTTGGCTTGTAGATTATAAAAATGATGCAAAAAAGGTAGCAGACATGGAAATTTGTGGTATATTTGCAGCTTTGATTGACCTTTATCATATTTTTGAAATCTATGTGATAGACGGTTGACATTTGATATTGAAATGCTTAGTTTAATATATAGCTTAAAATTGTGGCAAAATATTAATGCTAATATGTTCAGCACTTTTGCACTACATTCTCTCTTTTTTACTGGAGAAGTAAGATACTATATTTACGATATTTGTGTAGCTTATTTGTTATATACAAGATGTTGCTACTGTGTTTTTTCATAAAAGATATAGTCCATGGAGCAGCGACTATATCAGTCAAAGAGAAAGCACATTATATTTATTTTTAGCAATTTTTATTTGCTCTATTACCATTCTTATGAACACTCAGTAAAAACTACAAAAGAAAGTGAATAAAATGCAGCAAAAGTGGAAAAGTAACATAAATAACAGGTATTCCACATTTCTACAAAGAAAACCTTTACTTGGTGATTGCCATCACATGGTAGCAATTCTATCAGACACTCTTTCAAAATGTGAGCAGCTTAGGGCCTCACATTGCCTTCCTTCAACAAACATACAGGTTTTAGATTTTGAGCATATCACTTTTGAATGTCTCACAAGTGTGCTTTTTTTGTAATAGGAAGAATAAAAAAGAATATCAAATATAAATGCTTAAAAAATATGGCTTAAATTCTAATTCAATATTATAGCTACTGGATTCCACAGTAAAAACATACCTAGCTGTTCCTAAGCTTCTAAAAAACAAAACACTCGAAAATAACATAAATACACTAACCTACAAAGTTACACTTGCCAACAAACTGGCTGAGCTAGATAACTTTTTTTTCCAGTACCTGGTACTTGGTATTCGGCGAATGAAAATTGGCTCTGCTGTATCAGTACATATAAGAGCTAATGCCTTTATGATAACTGAATACCTGAAGAGTGGGGGGGGTGGCGTTGGCCAGTCATTCGCTTTGTTCAGTCATAGACCACCTCTAGGGTCACCCTTAATTGAGAATATTTCAATTGCTTAGCTTAGAGTATTTATACCCCCAACAATTCTACAATACTATTAAATATCGTTCTTGTGCCAAAAATAATCCTTTATGCACTGATGACAGTGTTGAGTGGGAAGTACAGGGTCAACCTATTTACCCCATTCTCATTTGTTTCATTACACTACAATTATTTCATTACAAATAGCTGGTGTAGTCAAGCTAAAATTTTACTCTATTTGATCAACCGCCATATCAGCCATATGAATGATATAATATACACAAGCCTCAGTATGTGAAAGAAAAAATATGTAAAGTGTTATCCATAATCTCGCAGAAGTTCTAGTGCCATATGCCAAACTGTAATTGCATGGCTAGGTGCTAATAGCATGCTTTCTATTTTTAACCCTCCAGATTACAACTGCAACAGAAAAGAAACTTTTCTAAAATAAAAATGATTAAACCCTTTCAGGACTTCTATGAGAGAACTATGATTATCAAACTTGATACAGTATTCAGATATCCCAAAACATACAAACCACCAAATTCTCAAAAAGAAAAAAGTGTTATGTAGATTGACTCTATACTTCCAATGCATTCACATATTCTTATTTTCAAATTTTCCATATATTCATTTTGGAAATCCATGGCACAAACGATGTTTGAGTGTTACTTTTAAATATTAGTCAGAAATAGGTCTGCTAAATAATATCAATATAATAATGTTTTTGACTATGCTGCAACCCGAAGTAATCAGAAACGACAGAAGCAAGATTTCGACATTTTTAAAATTGAGATTTCTACAAAGAAATTTTTAATGCTCCTTAAATTCTCAGAATGTAGTAGCATTACCTATTATGAGCCCACAAACTGGTGCAGCCGTTTCCGAGATTACGAGAGCGAAATAATGTGAACGGGCTGTCAGACAGAGCGACGAAAATAAGTGATGGATTTGCGTGTTATAGACGCAAAGCTCAAAAAACGCCATTTGTAATTCTAAAATGTCCGCGGTCACAGTACAAACGTTTTTATCTTTTTGTGTGTGAAAAATATTTACCTCAAAGCTTGCCATCCATTTGAGATACTCCACAATAAATTGGGTGATGCCCCCTGATAAATGTTGAAATGGAGGCCACTCAGGAGCAAGATACGCCACATGAACATTTATATTTGTAGAGATACTGCTACCATTAGATTCACACCATACTGCATTTCATTCAATTTGAACTCAAGGGAACTGTGTCTAAACCTTAATCAATTGATTGAGTCAATAATTGAAGCATTCCAAAAATTTCAAACGTCACACATTTTGAATTTCTTAAAAATCAACAAAAATTGTGTTATTCACAAGTCTTCGGGATCGGGATTCACATTCTGTTGCACCCCAAACATGAGTAAATAAATAAATAAGTAAATGAGTTGTAGATGACTTTACTGGCCTACTTGAAATTGATGTGAAGTTAGCAGCCAAAATACTTGATGAAGAACCGTTATCGCATAGTAACTCGTGAATGGAAGATGCTATATCAATAATATGTCACTTTTGAGATGGTAAAATCACCAACAGAGGTGGAGACTGTAATTTTCAAATCATATCGCAAAAAGTACTGGACATATGTAATAAAAAACGGTTATATTGTCTTTTCCTTACGTGATTTCTGTAGGATTGGATATCGACCTTGAAGGGAGAGGCACGTATAAAAAAATCCTGATCATGGATTATTCGTATATACAAACAAGGTGTTCCAAATTTATCGCAAATCACTTAAAAATAAATTGCATGATGTCGTTTTTACTTATTTTTCTCTACAAGATGGAATAATTAGAATTTCATTATGACGTTTCGTTTCTTGTCCTCCAGCATCAAATTTATTTTGTCTTATGAACGCCATATTGAATTTTTGCGCAGATTAGTTCTGATTCCAAAAATGTTTGAAATGTCATACACTGACATTGCCAAACTTTAGTTATTCCAGAAAGACGGAAGTTCCTAGGTAACTCTGGAAATTATGAGATATCATTTATTCCCTATACCAGACCAGGGGCTTGATTCTAAATGAGTTTCAACCCTTGAAATTGATTTCGAGGGCGCCGGTATGATATACTTGATTAGCTATGATAATTTTGACGCTGCCATGATAATTTGAATATAGAAGATCAATATAATCAGATGTCAAAATTATCATAGCGAATCAAGTATATCGTCACAAGGCGCCATCGAAATCAATTTCAACAGTCGAGACTTATTTAGAATCAAGCCCCAGACCTCAAATTGAACATAGTAACAGAGTTTGGAAGACTGAGAAGAAGAGAAATTAATCGATTTTGGGAAAATTCGTTTTGGTTTTATGTGGATTCGAGCAGAAAATAAGATAGTTAACCCGAGCGATACGTATTTCTGCTGGTTGGCTTCATCAGGCCCGAAATGAATGCACATATGCAACTACAAAAGTAGATACACATGCCCATACATCCGGATACAGGTGTAACCTGAGGAAACGAAGATGGAAAAGGAAAAAAATGACACACG